AGGAGAAACAGAGAGGTATGAATACACTCATCTGCAACGTCAGGTAACCCATCACGTACTGTTCTAGTGAGTTAAAGAGAAATATTTTGTAGCTTATTTTCGGCTTTCCTCCACATATCTACTTTTTCTCTTCTCTGTGTCTTATTATCTCCGATAAGAAGTGTGCCTTCTTGTTGCTATGCCACCCTCACCTGCCAGATTTCTTTTCTATCTCACTGAAATCAAAGCACAATCGAAACCATGGCTACTGCAATGCAGCCCTCGCAGCCATACAGAAGGAGGTGGCAGGATTCTCACTGTTCTCTTTCCACACCAGCCTCTCTTCTTCCTCCAGTCAATCAAGTCTTTGTCCTTATTTTGGGGGAAAAGTCACACAGGTGCGACGTCAGACAGGAAACAATTAGACCCACAAAGCAACGTTCTTTAAAATGAAGAACCGTCACAGGGGTGGGGAAGGTAAGGAGGGGAGTCATCTGAACATTGAGGTCGTTTTCAAATTTTCAGTGCCAAAATGAAAGGTTGACTGAGATTTGAATCGGTAGTTGGACGTTTCCACAATCTTAGATACTGCCTCCATTTTTTAAAAATTAGCAAATTTACTACTTATCAGAAATTATTCTAAGCATGTTCCCAATTGTTAATACATTTAAATGTTCATAACAACCTTATGACGTATTATTTTTATTGTGTTTTATGAGGAAACTGAATCACAAAGAGGTTACGTAACTTGCCTAAGGTCACACAGCTAGGAAGTGGCAGAACTGGGATTTGAACCCAGAGTCGGTGCCCTTATCTTCTATGCTAGAGGCCAGCAACTTTTTTTTTCTGTAAAGGGAAAGACAGTTAAGTATTTCAGGCACTGAAGGCCGTGGAATCTCTGTCGTGACTACTCAGCTCTGCCACTGTCATACAAAGGTAGTTATAGATTATATGTAAATGAGTGAGTATAGCTGTGTTCCAATAAAACATTATTTATAAAAACAGATCTTGGGCAGATTTGGCCCATGGCCTGTAGTTTGCTGATCCCTACTCTATGCTATGTATGTTGCCTTACTTTCTGTCCTGCAATACGCGCTAATGGACAATCAGACTAGGCTTGTTTTATTTTGCAATTTTAAAAGCAAGAAACCAACGAATTGACCTTTTTAAAAGACGTGATGATTAAACTGATGTAACAAAATGGCTACATAAAGTTTCTTACGCATTTCAAGGCAATATGAATATGTCGACAAGGACATGCTGTTTTTTTAAAGCTAAAATTGATCACACAGCTTGAATTCTCAACCACAGGCAGGGGAGGGTCTGCACTTGACAAATATAGACAAGCCTGTTCTTCTCTGAGGTTCCAGGAACGTCACTGGCTGAGCCCTGAGCAGTGTTAGACGTGGGAGATGATTGCTGGACTCAGAACTAAGGTCTCTCCTGAAAAATCCTCTAGGGGCAGCACTGAGGCTCGCGCCACTGCGGTTCCAGGCAGAGTTGTGTCTGCAAGGGCTCTGTGTGTGTGTGTGTGTGTGTGTGTGTGTGTGTGTGTGTGTGTGTAGGATGCACAGAATCAGACAAGAGAAGGGGAAATCCTGCAGTCCAGCCAGGCCAGGCTCTGGTTACATTCACATTCAACAGGACCCCCAGCCTGTGGGCACAGCCTGACATCCAGCCCATTAATACAAATAAATTACCCACCAGGCTGCAAATGCCTTCTGTATCCTGCTGATGTCAGGAACTGTCAAGGTTCTGCTTTCACAGTTTATTACCACCCCATCCGAATAGCTCAAAGGAATCCATCGGTTTCTGATCATTTATTCTGTGTGGCCGGAACTACTGCAATACATTTGTAAGGTTACAATTAACATACCATGTAAATTCAAGAGAATGATCCCAAGCACTATTTTTTTTGCAGCTCACACTAGCAGCTGAACCACCGCATAGAGACCTGCAAGACCCTCACTTGTGAATAGGAGCTCTGAGAATCGCTCAGCAGAGACAGGCTAACGGTCCCATTTCCCTCTGGCAAGTCAGAGCATGCTCAACCCACTGGGGTCAGGCCCAACCTCCTTTGCACTGCACAGTAAACCTAAACTAAGAAACATGCTCTTACTAAACAACAATGCAGACCAATCTCAGCCCAGGAAAGGCTGAGTGGTGGAGGATTTGGGATTCTGGTGTGCAGCAGAGGACGGAAGAAGGCTCTGTCCCCATATACATACTTGGGGATGGGCATGGGGTCAGAGGCAGCAGGGGGACCTCTTTCCCCACGCCTGCTTTGCTCAGCCCTTGCAGATGCCAAGCCCTTCCAAGACGACATGCACACTGACTGTCAGGTCTACAGGCGCTGCCTCGTTTGTCAGAGTTGAGCTGCAGGCTGAGAGGGAAGAGTAAGTTTCAGTTAAGCACCCCTGGGTGCAGCTCTCAGAGCTGATAAGACCTTGTCTAAAAATAGGATCAGGTGAATGAGCTCTCATAGGCTAGAGATGGGGCAGACAGAGGGAAACTGGTAAATAATCGGGTCTGTCTACCCCGCACCATATAAGCAGGCCACTGAAGGTCTGCCTGATCCATTTCAGATACAGGTGGCATGAGGGGCGGGTTCAAGGCAGCTGCTCTTCCCTCTAGTGGATAAAGAGCCTCTTCTGCTGCTGTTTACATCAACCGTGGCCAACATATACTTTAAACAAAAGTACTTGGAAGATTGGCAAAGATCATGAAGTCTTCTCATAGCTAAAGCTGAAAGCCACAGATTCCTGGTATGTACTTCTGTTGGGTCCAGATGGCTTCAGAGGAGTAAGTGCTGACAGATTCACAGCATCAGAAAGATCCACAAGAGAATCTGGACCAGTTCTTATTGTGGACACAAGCTCCTTTAGGTCAGTTACATTAAGAATCACCTGCATGGGAGGGCAGGAGAAATTGGGACTCTCTGTTACAAAAAGGACAAGTTCATCTGAAAATTATCACGAGGGTATTTGTAATTACATTGTGCCACGGGGCCAAAGAGCTTAATGAAACTTTGAAGAGCTGTTATTAATATAGTCACTCATTTACTAAGTATTTATTGATCACCTAATATGTGCCAGACATTGTTCTAGGAACTGGGAATACATTAGAAACAAAATAGACCAAACAAACAAGCACCTTATCCTAAGAGAGTGTATATTTTGAAGAGGGGACACGTACAAAATAAAAAAGTAAAAATCTATAGTATATTAAAGACAGTAAGTGCTATGAAAATACATATCCCTGGGAAGACGACAGTGAGAAGAACTTGAAGAAGAGGAAGTCAGCCGTGTGGTTTCTGGGGTTAAGTGTTCCAGACCAGGAGGACAGGCTGGGGCATGTGCCTGGGCTGAGGGGACAATCGTGGGTCTGTTCAAGGACAGCCAGAGGTCAGTACGGCAGGAGAGGGGGCAGTGAGGGAGATAGTAAAGGAGAGGCAACCAGGTAGTGTAAGGAACTATAAGGGCTTTGGCTTTTACACCGAGTGACATGAGAAGCTTCTGGAAAGTTCTGGGGAGAGGAATGACATGTTTGACATACACTCTAACGGCATCCCTCTGGCTGATACATTGAGAACAGACTGTAGGGAGGGTAACACACACATGCACATGTGTGAGACCCAGAGAAAGTAAAAGACTTTCTAAGAACACACAGTGCATCCATGGGTAGTCAGCAAGTGGGGGTGAAAGCAAGGTGCCACCTCCTTCCTCCTGATCTTGGAGAGGGAATTTAAGGAAAGTCAAACGGGCACCTAAAGAAATCCCTCCCAAGTCTGTCTGAAGATACATCCACATTCAAGCAGCTTGACTCAGGCGTAGTCCAGGAAGATAAATGTAACTCAGCGTAGAGATGGATACATCATGGCACCACACATTGATGAAAGACATTTAGATCACCCCACTCTCCCTGCTCAGAGACTGATGCTGATTTCCTAACACTGAGACTATTTGAGTTCCCTTGGAAAGTTGTTTTATCTTATTGAAAAATGATTACTTGGCATTCTGGTTTATACACCAGTCTCTCGTAGGGCTGGCATGATGCTGTGTAGGCATCTCAGATCTCCTATTAATGGCTATGCCTAAGGAAAGTGTTCAGTAATTGATTGGTGAGGTCTGCCATGAGCACAAAAAGGAAGGGCAGTAGCAAGGGAGCCATGGTGCTGTTAGCCTACCCTAAACTGTGTTAACATCACCAAAGAATGGCCATCCTGGGTAGCTTGAGCTAAACAGCCAGTTGACCTCCTTTGGCAATAAAAATAACAAGAATAATAAAATAACTACAATTAATACACATTTATTGAATATTTATGTGTGCCAGGCACTAAGCTAAGCACTTCATAGAAATCATCTCATTGATTTCTCACTGCAACTTTATAAGGTAACCTGTTGCTGTCAAGTCCATTCCGACTCATAGTGACCCTACAGGACAGAGTAGAACTGCCCCATAGGGTTTCCAAGACTGTAAATCTTTATGGGAGCAGACTGCCACATCTTTCTCCCATGGAGCAGTTGGTGGGTTCAAACTGCTGACCTTTCAGTTAGCAGCCAAGCTCTTTAACCACTGCACCATCAGGATTCCTTTATAAGGTAAGTACTATTATTATAACCATTTCACAGATGAGTACCCTGAGGCCTAGAGGAGATAAGTTCACACTGCGAGTAAGCACCAGAGCTGGGGCTTGGAGCCAGGCTGACACCCAAGCTCACACAACTAACCCCTGTGCTATACTGAGGTCTTTGGTCTAAGTCCTAACGCATATGGCAGGGGAAAACTCTGGCCTCTTCTATTAGTATTTGGCCCACATCCAGTAAGCCCTGGCTTGACATTAGCAAGTGTCTGAGCTAGAGGTAACCAACAATGAACTTCAGGGATGCTGGTCACTTCACTCAGCAGACTTCCTGAGCCACCACAGCCTCTTCCCTCTACTGCTTCCTCCTCATCAACTCTTCAGTTCCTAAATCACAGTTTCTTCCTGCTGCCTGGCCAGAGACTATCATAAAATAAACCACGGGTTCTAAAAGTGGTTACACGGGAGCAAAAGTAGTCAAAATATTCTGTGTTGTAGCATAAACTTTCTCTTATTTCTGCGTAATCTTTTCGAGCTTGCCAATTTTGGTTCATAAGAGATAATATTAAGTTTTAACTGTTATAGGTTGAATTATGTCCCCCAAAACGATATCTGAAGTCCTAACCCCTGTACCTGTGAATGCACCTTATTTGGAAATAGGGTCTTCCTTTGAAGATGTTGTCAGTTCGTGAGGTCCTACCAGAGTAGGGTGGGTATTACTCCCAACCTTATAAAAGTGGAGAACAGACATAGAGATAGGGTCACACAGGGGGAAGACTCCATGTGAAGATACATCTATAAGCCAAGGCTACCAGAAGCTGGAAGAGACAAGGAAGGATCTTCCCCTAGAGCAGAGAGAACATGCCCCTGCCAATGCCCTGAATTCAGACTTGTAGCTTCCAGAGCTATGAGACAATAAATTTCTGTTCTTTAAAGTCACCCACTTTGTGGTACTTTGTTAAGGCAACCCCAGGAAACTAAGACATGAGCGTGAGAATATTTGCTACTGAGGTCTTAAGGCTGAAACTCACATAGTGACTTTTTCTTTGGTGGGGGCGGGGTGAGATCTTGGGAACAGAGCAAGAGGTTTTGAGCAGGGTTGGGGTCCTAGAAACCTGGTGAGCTCAGAAGGAGCTGTGTAAGTCTAGCAGTGACTGGTGGTATGTATCTAGGAGAACAAAAGAAGCTCAACCAGGACAGCCAGCACTTACTTTTCTGAGTCACAGCCTAGCAACAATGGTGAAGTTTCATATTTACAATAAAAACAAATTCCGCAGGTACCTTTTCTACAGGTCTTTTCCTCAGGATTAAGGACACTGGCCATGTGTCCCAAAAAGAGGTGATGCACACAAGAAGTGCAATGCCTTGTTAAGGCCTCCGGCCTGTGAGAAATCCTCTTTTCACACTCAAATCAGTTTCTTAATGACACAAGAGGAGGGGAGAGAGAAATTGCAGGTTGGGGGGGAGAAGGGAGGGAGACAGGAAAGAAGGTTGGGTGGCTGTTAATTGATTACAAATGAAGAAGTCATTTGAGGGCCAATTCCTGTATCTTGCTTTAGCACACAGCCCTGCTGGGGCAGGGGCAGGGATCTGTGAGAGCTGTGCAAAATGTCTGGGGATTTCCATTTCATGAAACAAACACCCAGCATTCCTGATGCTTGAGAAAACAGAGATCCAGACAGACGGCACGGAGAGAAGTGAGAAACAACATCACGTTTATCTTCTGGTCATCTTGGAAAGAGCATTTTTATGTGCTCAAAGGGAAAGCCCAGGAGTCCTTTTTAGGTTTTGGCTCAACGTTCAGAACAGATCCACAACTACTCCAAATGCCTGACTTTTCATATGGAGCTTGGACCACTAGCTAATAAATGATTTAACCTCTACTCAACATATATTTTTGGGAACTTCCATTCTACACACTGTGCAAGGTGCTGGAGACACAGAGGTGAGTAACTCATAGACCCTTTTCATATGAATTCAGTCTCATAACACAAAACCTGCTTATTGGTGGGAGCCAGGGTGAGGGCACACACACCTCTTTAGGGGTGTGAGCGGAGTGATTGCGTCTAACTGTATATCTGTGTACATATTTGAAATATTTCTCCTCATCCATCCATCTCTCCATCTATTCATCTGTCCATCCATCAATCTACCCCTCCATCATCCATTCATCCCTCTATGCATCCATCCCTCCATCAGTCCATTCAACCATCCATCCATCTGTCTGTCCGTCCATCCATCCATCCATCCATTCATGCAAACACTGATCACTTTCCCTGTACCAGGTACTGTGTGAGACACTAGATTTATAACAGTATAAAGGCTGACACACTCCACTAGTCTCACAAAATTTATGAGAAAGATGGAATCTTCATTTAGGTACATAATATATAAAACATACATGACTTTTTAAAAAATCAACACAATGAAAGTCATAGCTACTTCTGAGATATGCCAAAATGAGAAAGGAAGGAAGGAAGATAAGACACACTGAGAGATGGGTACAAGCAGAAGTTTGCCATTTTTCTTTAGTTTTGCAATAACATTTGCAATGCTGACTAAAATTAAGGAAAAGGTAACATTCTTCTTTCTGTAGGTCACAAAGTTGAGCACATTCACCACACACATTCCAGTCTGACAGAAACTGGGCAGAAGCCATTCTTTCCAGCATTTTCCACTCAGAGTACCTCCACAGCCACCCTAAAGTGGGAGAAGACAGCATGCACATGCTACATATATTTCAGTAGACACATAGCTTTTTGTTTTTTTTAAGCATTTGTTCCATCTAGACTAAATTAAACATTATTAAGGGCAAGAAATGTTGCCTTCCTATGGCATTCCCTTCTCGATGCCTAGTTCAATGCCATTCAAACTGTCACCGTGACTGGGGATCCAAGAACCCAATGGGGAACGTTGTGGCTTATCTGGACCTAAAGTGAAGTGATTCTCAGAGACTTCTGGAAACAATTCACTTTAATACAGCTTTTCTTCTCTCGCTGAGCTCTAAAAATTGCAAAATTGCCTGACAGTGGAAGAATAGATGGGGTGAAGGTGGAAGCTGGGAGCTATGATAAGAAAAACCATCTATTACCTAGTTTATGTCAGGCTTCTGCAATTTATTTTACCTTCCTTTCTCCTTTCTTGTTTCTTAGCCCTAAATCAAGTGGAGTGCTGCCCTCATGCAGCTCGAAAATGTGTAAACCTATCTGTCGAAGCATTCCTCAGCTGGAGGAGGCCTGACAGCTCCAGACGGAGTGGAATCTGCCATCAATCTCAGAAGCCTGCCAGACGGAAGGCTGAACAGCCTGGAGAGGCTGTCACCCGTTGTTCTGGCACTGGCTATGGCCAGGGCCTCTGGAACCATTTATTTATTTATTTATTTATTTACTCTTAAGGCAAAAAATTCAATGATCTACATCAGTTTGAAAAAGCCTCAGTGAATAACATCTCCTGAAGATCAGCCCGATTCTCTGGGCCCAGGAATATTTGTAAAGGGGATTTGTTCTCCATGTAAAAGCCCTTTCTTTCCATGCACTGTTTTCCCTCAGGACTCTCCAGAATGGTTCTTAGAAGGAGAGGTTTAGAAACCACCCAACCATGAGGTGGAGTCTGGTCAGTGACTGGGCCTGGGAATGAGGACTGAATGTGGAGTAAGACCAAAGAAATATATAGAAATATTCACATGAAGGAACATCAAATAGAAGAGAGGATCAACAATATTAGGAGAGGAGAGGAAGTATGAAGTAAAACAGGAAATAAGCCCAAACAGGAGAAATGTTAAGAAGATTCTAGGTCACGGTATTAATAAAATGGCCTCTGTGGACACATAATCAATCACCCAGGAAGATAACTGGATACGAGAAGAAGAAAGTGACACAAACTCATTATAATCTTTATATGAACAGTAATTGTTCTCCAGAGGTGGAATGTACCAGTGTCAAATATGTCTCTTGACATCCAGTTAACTTATTGAGAACAATTACTGTTTACGTGAGATACTGTCACATCCCTCCCACTAATGTGATCATCGATAGGGTATAGTCTCTCTGATTCATACATGCAAAGATTTGGCTCTGAGAAGAACAATGCTGCCAGATTACATGATGATGTGACAATGAGAAACCTAAATGGAGAACAATGTCATCACCAAAAACTATTTCTGGACTTCCATTTTTATCAGTATCACAATGCAAGCACCCTGGATAACACTCCTAATGGAAACAACAAAAAAACGCTAGATTAAAAAAGCACTCAGACAGTCTTTAAAACACACTGCTGTAATTGGAGGTTCACAGAACCACCTATGAAGTGATCTTGGAAAAGACAAATATAAACAAACAAACCAATATATTCAAGCCACTAGATTTAACTACCATCTTACAGGGAATACAGGGGATACAGGAACACAATAAATAACACCACAAGGATGCAATCAGCAAAATCAAGAATGTGGGGCATTCTACAGGACAAACGACTAGGCTTTTTCAACTAGTGGAGTCCATGCATGATGCAAATGGTTAATGCACTTGGTTGCCAACCAAAAGGTTGGAGGTTTGAGTCCACCCAGTGACACTTCAGAAGAAGGGCCTGGCGATCTACTTCTGAAAAATCAGCCATTGAATACCCTATGGAAAAATGGATCAAAGACCTAAATGTTAAAGCTAAAACTATAAAGTTCTTGGAAGATAACATAGGGATAAAACCAAGGAACCTAATTTTTGGCATAAATAGCCTATCAAACACAACTGAAAATGCATGAATGACAGAAGATAAAATAGATAACTGGGACCTCCTAAAAATTAAATACTTATGCTCATCTACAGACTTTTTACCAAGACAGTAAAAAAGGAACCTAAAGACTGGGAAAATCTTTGGCAATGGCATATCTGATAAGGGTATAATTTCTAAATATACAGAAAACTTCAACAACTCAACAACAAAAAGACAATCCAATTGAAACACGGACAAAGGACATGAACAAACACTTCACCGAAGAGGACATTTAGGCAGCCAACAAATACATGAAAAGATGCTTGCGATCACTGGCCATTAGAAGGATGTAAATCAAAACTACAAATGAGATACCATCTCATCCCTGCAAAATAGGCAATGATCAAAAAAACAGAAGACAACAAATGCTGGCAAGGTTGTGGGGATATTGGAACTCTTATGCACTGCTGGTGGGGTTGTAAAATGGTCATCCACTATGCAAAATGGTATGGCCCTTCCTCAAAAAGCTAGACATAGAAGTACCTTATGATCCAGTAATCCCACTCCTAGGTATATATCCAAGAGATACAAAAGCAGCGACACGAATAGACATATGCACACCTATGTTCATTGCAGCATTATCCACAATAGCAAAAAGATGGAAACAACCTAAGTGCCCATCAGTGGAAGAAGGGATAAACAAATTGTGGTACATACATAATGAGAAGTCCATGAAA